AGAACTGAGTCAATACAGCTACATGCGTGGACATGAACGGGAAGGAGGGCCAGAACCAAGACACAGAGGGGATGAAGAGACAGACCTGTGGGCAATGTGGACTTGGGGCCGATACTCTTTTCCCACTGTTATTTTCTTGAGCAGGTAAACCAAAAAAAATGAAAAGATATCAGCAAGTATGCAGTGAGGTTTCTCAATCCATGCCCACCCTGCATCTGGGCAACCTGTCCAAGTCATAAGAGACTCTCTACCCCTAACCCCAACACTCACCTAGGCTACCTAGTTATGTGACCTTGGGTAAAACACCTCACATTTATTGCCTCAATGTGTCCATCTATTTTAACCTTCCTCCTTCCTTCTTAGGAGTGTCATGGAGACCAGATAAGATAAACCAGGCAGGAGGTATCATTAAGCATGGAAAACACTGTTGTCTCCCATACAGAAACTAAATCAATAGAGCTACAGAGACTAAGGGAGCACCATGTACTCCTGGCTTCTTTCCCTTTCTCAACAGCACCATCTCCATCTAACACTACATATATTTTGTTTTTGTTTTTTTTTTTTTAAACACTTACTTTATTTATGTATGTATATAAGAACTGGGGTGTAGGCCAGAGATGCAGGAGGGTGAGAAGATTCACCAGAGAGAGAATGGGGAACAGAACAGGCAGACTGACTGAAATACACTACTGAGGGGAGCAGCAGGTGAGACAGGAGAGGTCTGCTGTGCCATGTGGGTTAGCTCCCTGGCTGGGGATCGAACTCATATCATCGTGGCTCGTGATAGCTTGATAGCGCTGAGAAGTTAACCCCTGCACCACCAGGGAGGCTCACTACATGTATTTTGCTTCGCTGTCTTCCCAGCTTAAATGAAAGCCACTTGGGGCAGAAACTTCTGTCTGCTTTGCTCACTACTCTACCCTCAGTGCCTGAATGACAGGCATACAGTAGATGCTCAGTATACTCTACTGAAGGAATTGCCAGTTTCAATAACCCATTCTGACAAAGTCAAATAACACTTGGCTAATTACCCGTCGCTGATCCACCATTAACAGCACTACCTGGAAAATGAAGAGTGAAAATATTCTAACTTCCCCTTTCCAAGTACTCAATACTTAAAAGAGAGTTGCAAATTAGGAGCTCCTGGAAGGGCATACCAGGAAAGGGAAAAAGCTTCCACAGAATCAAGAATGTGACCTCACAATAACTTGTTTCTTAAAAAGAATGCAAGGAAACTTTGAAGGCCAGAAAGCTCTCAATTCCAAGACAGAAGCCATGTGATTTCCAAATGCACAGTTTTCAGAAATGTATTCACAGCCAAAAGTGTTCTGAAACCAAAATTGTAGGGATTAAACCCAATTAAAGTAGCAATCAGTATCCAACAAATTGGCTAACCTAGGTGAAACAAATCCCTAGAAACACAATGTACCTAAACTGACTCATGAAGAAATAAAAAATCTGAACAAACCTATAAATGACAAGGAAACTAAACAAGTAATCAAAAACTTCCCAACAAAGACAATCCCAGGGTCAGATGCCTTCACTGGTTAATTCTATAAAACATTTAAAGAAGAATTAACAACAATCCTTTTCAACTTCTTCCCAAAAAACTGAAAAGGAGGGTCTCCCTGGTGGTGCAAGGGGTTAAGTCTCAGCACTATAAAGCTATCACCAGCCACTCAGCACAAGTTCCATCCCTGGCCAGGAAGCTAACCCACATGGCGCAGCAGACTTCTGTCAACCTGCCTGTTCTGCTGCCCACTCTGTCTCTGGTGAATCCTCTCACCCCCCTGCACTTCTGGTTACACCCTAGCTCTTGTATGCATAAATAAATTGAAAAAAAAGTTGAAAAGGAGGGAATACTTGCTAACTTGCTAACTGTTCTATGACATCTGCATTACCCTAGTACCAAGTGAAAGACACAGCAAAAAAAAAAAAAAACCCAAACCCAAACCAATATCTCTTATGAATATTTATACAAAAATCCTTAACAAAATACTATCTAAATAAATTCTGCAACACATTAAATTCTGCACACTAAATTCTGCAACACATTAAAAGGTTTAAACACCAGGGCCTCCCCGGTGGCGCAGCGGTTGAGCACTGGGTTGCGAAGCTGCCCACAGCCTCTGCAGTGCCGGTTCGATCCCCGGCTGCTCCCCGGCCACCTTCGGAAGAGGGTCCCACATGGCGCGCAGACCTCTCCTGCCGCCCGCTGCTCCCCTCAGCAGTGTATTTCGTCAGTCTGCCTGTTCTGTTCCCCGCTCTGGCTCTGGTGAAATCTCTCACCCTCCCGTGCTTCTGACTGTACCCAGTGCTTATATAAATAAATAAATAAATAAATAAATAAATAAATAAATAAATAAATAAATAAATAAATAAAATCTTTAAAAAAAAAAAAAGGTTTAAACACCAGGTCACAATGGAGTTTATTTCTGGTATGCAAGGATGGTTCAACGTACAGAAATCAATCAATACATACTACAATAGAATGAAGGAGGGGGGGAAACATGATCATTTCAATAGATGAAGAAAAAGCATGTGACAAAAGTTAACTCTTCTCCATGATGAAAACATACAAACTAAGAAGAGAAGGAAACTTCCTCACATGATAAAGGTCATATATGAAAAACCCATAGTGGAGATCACACTTAATGGTGAAAACCTGAAAGCTTTTCCCCTCAGATCAGGAGCAAAACAAGGAGACCTCCTTTCACCACTTCTATTCAACATGGTACTGAAAGTTCTAGCTAGAGTAATTAGGCAAGAGAAGAAATAAAATGCATTCAAACCAGAATGGAAGAAGTAAATTTGTGACTATTTGCTAATGGGGTTTTGTCTATCCAAAGTCCCAAAAAGTCAACCAAAAAAACTGTTGAAACTAATTAACAATTTCAGTAAAGTTACAGGATACAAAATCAACATACAGAAATCAGTTCCAGTCCTTTACACTAATGAAGCATCTGAAACAGAAATAAAGTTGCCCCATTCACAATAGCATCAAAAACAATAAAACACCTAGGAAAAAATTTAACTAAGTACAAGAGCTCTACAATGAAAACTGTAAGAATATGCTGAAAGAAATAAAAAAAGACACAAATGGACAGATCTCTTGTAATCATAGATTACAAGAATGAATGGGCCTCCCTGGTGGCGCAGGGATGAAACACAGCGCTATCAAGCTATCGCCAGCCACTGCAGCACAAGTTCAATCCCCTGCTAGGGAGCTAACCCACATAGCACAGCAGACCTCTCCTGTCTCGCCTGCTACTCCCCTCAGCAGTGTATTTCAGTCAGTCTGCCTGTTCTGTTCCCTACTCTGTCTATGGTGAATCCTCTCACCCCCCAAACCTCTGGCTTACACCCCAGTTCTTGTATGCATAAATAAATAAATCTTTAAAAAATAAAAGAATGAATATTATTAAAGTGTCCATATCAAATTTTAAGAAACAATAATACAGAGAGATACTGTGTACCCTATATCTAATTCCCCTCAGGGGGAGCATAGTTCAGAACTCTATAGAATAGCTCAGCTTGAACACTAATGTTAAAACATTCAAAGTACAGACATTTCCATCACCACAAGGGTAGAGGAAAATAACTATCAGGCATATTTTCAGTCCATGGAGAGAATCCCTCTTTAAAGGCAGGTTTTCCTGATGGCCTAGGGCATTCTCCCCATGGCAATGGGTCCTGAGGATAGTATCTTATCCTTTGTATTCTAACTGCAAACCCAGTTCTAATAATCTGGGTCCTAAATCCAAGCCAACAGTGCAGGTTGACTATCAACTGTTTGAAAAGCTGATGCTTGAGCCATATCATGCAGTTTGTGGGATAACTGTCTCAGGGGCCAACGGATTGCCAACAGAAGCAGAAGCCAATGTGGCTAGCTCAATTACTTCCTCTTTCACTTTCCCACAGATGGTCACTGAGAAGGAAAACAGGGGTCAGGCTGAGAAGCCTAAATTTTTAAATTTTTTAAATTTGGAAAGTGGAGTTCCTGTTTTCTATTCCCTGAAGACCTGGATATTTAATATCCTTTGCATTTTGTAGAGAAAGTCTACAGAAAGAGGACAGAGTTTTTTCATCCATTCCAACAATAGCAGAACCAACAACCTCTGCCCTCTGTAGTCTCTAGGGCTCTGTCATACAGAATATCCTGTTAGATCTCAAAATAACCCAGTGAGAATGAATATTAAATGGCTGTTAACTTCCACTGGAGGCATGAAGAAACCGGGGCTTACAGAGATGAAGCAATTTGGCCTAAGTCCCACAGCCCCAGGAGGCAAAGCCCGGGTTTACACACAGTTAGTGAACTTGAGAGTTCTCCTTCCACTTCAATTATTGTGGGTAGCGAACAGCAGAAATGGAATTAGACTACTTTGATGTCAAACAACAGAAGGAAAAAAATGTTTCCAAGTTTGGCAATTAATAGGACTAGACAGCCCATCCAGAGACGCAGCCTAGGAAACTAAGCGTCCAAATGGATCTTCCCTTTTGAATTTTTGTGCTCAGTAATTCCTGCTGCGCACCCAGTACAGAGTCGCATGCTGTCCAGCTCCAGGCACGCTGATGGACAGGGAGGGTCGGCCAGATTCAAGGGATTTCACCAGGGGCGGAAGACAAGATGGGTCACAGTGAAATGGCAGTTTCGGCGTTCAGACGCGAACAAATCAAGCCTAAACCAAGAAGTATCTGAAACCGTAAGTGGCTCTGGGGTCCCACAGGTGCACTTACAACCTAACAGAGCCAAAACGCCTGCGACGCGCTGACCACTACGCCACCCAAGCGGCGCATGCGCGAAGCCTGCAGCTGCGCTAGAAAATTCCCACGCCTGCTAGTACCAAACCAGGGGCGGACGCCGAGGATCCACGCAAGAGCCAGCTGATGCGCATGCGCGCCCTCAGCGGACGCCTGTCAGCAGTCCTCTGCTCTCTCGTCCAAGTTCTAAACCCGAAAGCGGGCTAATTTAGCCATGGCCCTCACCCCGCATTCCTCACCTTGCGCCCGGTCTTCTCACGAAGGGCCTTCAGGCGTTCTTTTCGCCTCAAAGCTTCTTCTTCCAGCCGGCCCACGCCGGCCGCAGTAGCCGCCATCTTGCCCGCGGGCCCCCTCCTCTCTGGGCCTGCAACGCGCAGGCCCAAGGAGGGCAAGAACTTTTTGCAGCCAATCCCAGGGCAAGAATGAGAGAGTGAACGTCCTGAAAACCAATCAATGCTGAGCTGCTGTAGGAGACCCCCCCCCCCCGCCATCTTCCTCCTCGGTCTATCGGTGGAGGAGAGTAGGGAGGGTTGGCAAAGGAAAACGCTGTAAGACTCGATTAATCCAAAGCCAATTAGAGAGAAAGCAACAAGTGCAATCAGACCTAAGAGAAGGAGGATAGATCTCGTCGATCGTTCTGGTTTTCCCTAAGAGCTAAGCACAGCTAACTCCATACTGGCCACTTGGAATGCCCTGACATATCCCTGCCTTCCCACTTGTTCTGCTTCTTCATGAATCAGATAACTTTTAAGAAGCCTTCCCTGGCTCTCCACTTCGACCTTAGCCTAAAAAAATCTGCCTCTCCCTGTTCAGCTATCACTGGCTCTCTGGATGCACTTGTCTGAGTGCCCCCAGGCCCTTCTGTGTCCACTCTTAGCTCAGACAAATCCTGCACAATATGGGACTTGGCTGGATGGCCATTTCCTTCCGTATTCATGGATGGTCCATTCCAATCCCCGACTCCCCCTTAAGAGGCAAAATACCTACAGTCAAACTACCTAAACTGCAGAAATGACCCCAACCTGAGCCTAATGGGCCCCAAGGAACCCCCTCAGGTTGGTTCCTGAGAAAGAAGCTGAGAGTTGGTTTGGCCTCTACAGCAGCAGATGGCCATGAAGTGCACCGTTCCCTGGCAGGAGCTGACAGGGTCTGATTTCCTACTTAATCAGTATGCCCTGATAAGCAAAGGCCTACTTTGGCTGAAGTCAAGGTCTTCTGACAGTGTGTCCAGGCCCACAAAGTCACCCCCATTCTGTCTGGAAAGAAGGGGCCATACCTTCCCCACCCCATCCTACACATACCATGACTTGCAAGGCTGTTGCCTCCTTGGAGTCTCAATTCCTAGCATCCCTCCTGCCCCAACTCCCTTCAGAGGCTTCTTTGCCACAGTCCCTGGTTGAGCGCACACACCCTCCAAATAACACACTTGACCTCACTAGCCTGGGTCTTCTTTTGTTGTCCTCTCCCGGGTATCTGGTGGGGTGAGCTGCCAGGGCCTGATACATGGGTAGTACCTGGTTCTCAGGTAAGTCAGCTCAGAAGCAGGATGGTCAGGGCAGAAATAAAGGACGGGGGTGGGGGGGTGTTGGTGGGGTGACGGCAATGGGGGGGCTACATAAGAAGCCAAAGGACAGAGTCTGCCTTCTCTTGGCCACCCAAGGCCTAGGGGACTCAGGATTGATGGTGCCTGTCTAGTTCCCACAAACTTTCCCCCAGCCCCAACAAAGGGCCTGAACTCTCCACAACACAAGGAGGCCTCCCTTACCTCCCAGGTTAACTGAGGGGAGGGGAAAGGAGGAAAGGGACCTAGGAGTATTGGTGACAATAACCCAGCAAGCAGCAGCCAGGCCTCATTCCTGTCCCTGGCTGGCCAGGTGCTCTTCATTTGGCCCATCTGGGCCTCAGTTTCTCTTTCTGTAAAGCAGGCAAGCGGCACCCTCTTAAACTTTTTGAGGGTTAAGGAAAACAACAGATGTGAAGCAAATGCAGGGCCCTGGTCTCTATCAGAGTATCTAGGAAGGTTTCCTGGAAGAGGGGACCCCACAGGGAATGCTAAACTTCCCAGGGAGGTATTTCAGGCTTGTTTTGTCTTGTGCTCTGACCCTCCCACCCCATCCTGCTTCATAAACAGTAGGGAAAAAAGTGGAACTCTTGTTTTCCCTATAAAGCTCATGTTACAGTACCTAGCACGAGGTAAGCTCTACAAGTGGTCATCGTGGTGGCTGTTACCATTCATTACTTGCTGGACACTGGCCATCGGCATGAGGCCCACCGCAGCCCCGTCCCCACTTTTCTTGAGTCTTCCCTTGCATGAACGGTGGTGATTCCAGCCACAACGGGTGCGTCCCCCCAAAATCTACAATCAGGACAAGTCAGGAATCCTAGACCCCGACCCTAGTCCTGGAGGCTGATTGGTCCTTTCCCGAGGAAGCGGTTGGGGCACAGACTGCGGGGGGCGGGGTTGAGGGGCGCCCTCCCGGGCCATGCTGACCTCAGGCTCCTCCTTCTGCCGGGTTCCCCGCCCTTTGCACAGTTCGGGGAGAGGCGGGGCGGCAGTGGCGGCTGCTAAGTGCAGGAAGCCGGGCGGCGGCCGGCCGGGAGGAGGAGCATGCAGACGGGTGGCTCAGCGCGGCGGGGGCCAGTGCTACTTCCCCCAGTAGTACCGCGCCGCTCCGCCCCGGAGTGACGCCCTCTGCCCATGGGCCTGGCCGGGGGCAACCGGCGGGCGGCGCGGAGGAGGCGGCCGCGGCAGGTGGCGCGCAGCAGGGCCGGAGCCGGGCCGGGCCATGGCCGCCTCGGAGCGGCTCTACGAGTTGTGGCTGCTCTACTACGCGCAGGTGAGCCCGCCCCCCCCGCACTCGCAATGCCCCTAGCTCCGCGCGCCCCGCTCCTGCTGCACCTGCGCCCGGCGCCACACTGGCCGCTTAGATGCACGCGCGGCTTGGGGGTTGGGGGGCGGACAAGCTTGGGCTCCGCATATATGTGCACCCCGGGCACCTATACCTGGGGAACGATCCATGTAGGCACACACCTCACAAGACCCTTTCTGGTAGAGACCGCGCAGTCTCAGTCATGGGGGAGGAAAGGGACCTAGACCAAGACCTGGCCCTAGTGCCTGGCCAGGCATTTCCCCTTTTCACCTCTGGGGAAACTGAGGCCACAGCGGGGGGTGAGGGGGCGGAGGCAAGGGAGGAAAGCTTAGTTTTCATTTGGGGTTATCTTTCCAGTGGGTGCGGCCTGTCCGGTGGTCCAGGCAGACAGGTCTGAGTGGTCTGGGGGTTTAGATTGGGTGCAGGAGTTTGGGAACATCCCTACTCCATACCGACTTGAGTCTATGCAGATAAGGGGGGGGGGCGGTGACCCGGGGTCCTGCTGTAAGAAAAAGTTTGCCTTGAATACCTAAGATGGGGTGAGGGGAGTGACCTAAGGGATGCTCCAAAGGGATGGAGTGAGGTCCTTTCTTCCTGAGCTCCCTGTCCCATCTCAGAAACCACGTCAAGGGGTCAGTGAAGAGCTGACTCTTCATTGAGAACTGAGAACTCTTCACTTGGTCCCTTGGTGTCGAACTTGGTGTCCTCCAAACTCTGTCTCACACGCATAGGCCCCTACTTTCCCTCTGTGCCCACAGCAGGGAGGGACCCCAGGATAATGCCCCCTCCCCTTAACCCAGACCAGCCTCCCTCCTGCACCTGCCTGGCGTCATGCTCCTGGCTCAGGTGTACCCTGGGCACAATGGACTATTGTTTGCCCCTGATCGTCACTGGGGGGAAGTTCAAGCTCAGATCATCTGGCCCTCTGTGAAGAGGCTGGCCAACTGTCTCCCGGACTGCAGGTCAGGTTGGGAGCCCCAGGGACCTGCAGTCTGGGCCATAATGGTGACAGCTTCTTGAATTGGCTTAGGTGGTGAGAGGTCCAGGCCCCTGGACCTCTTTGATATTATCTAGCATGTGATCTCTCTGCTTCCCTATCTGTAAATGTGGCAGAGCACTGGCCTCACAGGTGGACTGAACTCTGCAAGGGGGGAGCCCTCTGATCCAGGTCAGAGGAGGCTCTGCTTCCCTGGCCCTTTTTGGTTCCTCACCCCAGCTTCTTGCTTCCATCTCCAAGGGCTGGTCCTTATGAAAAAGGAAAAGACTAAGGAGACCTTCTGCTGGCCCTTCTGTATCTCATTGCCACTGTGACTGTGGACAGGTCTTGGTCTTCAATTTCTTCACCTGTGACCAGATAAAAGAGGGGCTGGGCCCAGGTGATGAGTGAGGAATGTTGGTAGTGGGTCTTCAGGCTGGGTGGCATGCTGCTGGGGTTGGTACAGTCTCCCAGTACTGTGCCTCCAGCATGGTTGCCTCCTGCTACCCCTTCTAACTGAGCTCTGCAAATGTGGAGACCCCTGTTCCCTCAAGAGGTGCTGAACACTCATCTGTGCTGTGGTCCCTTGGCCCCCCGCCCTCCAGCTCCTCACCTCACAGGGCAGTTATGAGGCACAGACTGACTGCCTTGGAAGCCTGGGCAAACAGGGGGCAGCCTGGGGCCAGGCAAACAAATCCAGGATGTGAGAGCCAGGCGGGGCCAGGCTGCTTGGGAGAGGAAGCTCCGGCTAGCCTCCCAGCACTGCCTTCCTGCCTTCTTGCTCCTGCTCCTGCTCCCAGAACGGAACATGGTCCCCACCCCTTGGTGCTGGGCTCCCAGGGAGGGGTGACAGTGCTACCTTGAACCCTGCTGGAGACCTATGGTGTGTGTGTGCTTAGGGTAGGGGTAAGGTAAAATAAGGAGATGAACTGATAGAGTGTGCTAAGAGACCCCTGAGTTGGCCAGCCACCCAGCCAGAAAGTACCCCATCCCTTGTGCCCCTCCCTTCAGCCACGGGAGCTGACATCAGCTGGCAAACCTGTTTCCCCAGTTGTAGATCTAGGCCCGCCCTGGGGAGCACCCCACTTTCTGCCCTTCCTTCCCCCTCACAGACCCCAGGTTCAGACCCACCCACCTCCTACTTCACTGGGCCCTGCTCAGCTGGGGGCCACCATGAGGGAGGGGCTATGGGCTGCTACTGAAGTAGGAATCAGAGTACCCCTGTCCGTGGCTCAGTCTGAGCTTGTCAGGGTCCTGGTGGGAAAACCTGCCCGGAGTCACTGGACAGGTTCAAGGCAGTGTCTGGCAGAAGGCTGCCCTAGCCCCCATCCGGTGTTCCTCTAGTAAGGAAAGGGCCAGTCCTGTGGGCAGGAAGCCTGGGGGGGGGGGGTCTGCTCCATGGGATGGCACACCCTGTGTCCTCTTCGTGGAGCCTTCTCCCTCACATTTGAGAAGACCTTCCCCTGTCCTGCCAGGCCAAGATGGACCTCAGCCCAGCATGTCCCCACCTTAACCCTCTTGTGCTTGCCCTCCGCTGTCCCCTCAGCACCTGACGTTTAGTAGGTGCTACTTGGGAGTGAGCTGAGCAGCTAGGTGGAAGACAGTGGTCCCACATCAGTAACCCATCAGGAAAGGTGGCAGGGGAGACTAAATTCAGGGAAGGCTGAGGGTAGAGCCTTCCCCGCCCCCCCCCCATGCAGGAGCAGCGGGACAAGCTTGTGGCTGCAGGAAATGCCAGAGGCAAGTTGTCAGGAGCGAGGAGGAGGGAAGAGGGAGCTGTCCAGGGGACTGGTCCCACCAGGGCTTCCCCAGGGAGGGTGTAAGAAGGGGATGAGAGGATGGGGGCACTGGGGACGTCACCCCGCAGGCTGGCGGTTGGACAACTTATACAGTTACGCAAGTAAGTAGCCCCTTTTCATGCTGCTGCACTGATGTTGCTGCACAGCCCCCCGTGAACGGGAATGTTGGAGGGCATGGAGCTGAGGGGCACTTGGGCCTGGACATTTGGGAACATGTCCAGGCTGAACTCTCCACTTATGCCATTGAGGACTCAGAGGGCTGCAGAGAGGTCAGTCCAGAGCCGGAGTTGACCTTGCCCTGCCTATGGTGTCTCATCTCTGAGGAACCCTGTTGCCTGGTGGAAAACTGATCAGGCCCTCTAGGACCTCAGCTGAGTCATTCCTTCCTCTGCCTCAGTTTACCCTCTTGAAATGTGAGAAAGGAAGGTGGACTCACCCCCTGGGTGCTTGATGCCCCCCCTCATACCTTAGAAGGCAGAGTTTCCTCCTCCCTGCCTTCATTGCCAAGGGGACTGAGGGGGAGAGACTAAGGTGATGGGGAGAGTAGCACAGGCCCCAAGTGTGGGGGAGGGGCTGGCAATTCCTGGAGTTGTTATGGCAACTGGGGTACTGATGTGGAAGTGTGGGGTCCCCATGGAAACAGGGTCGGTTACTATGGGGACCCTGGAAGGAGATCCCAGTTTCCATAGTGATAGGCTAGGAGAAGGTTAAACCCTGGGGTTGTTATGGAGACCAGCAGGTCTATACCTCTCAAGACCCTCTTCCCAGGTGAGGGGGGAGATGTGCCACCTGCCCCTGGCAAAGTCCCTAACTTCCTGCTTCCTCCCTTGGCCTGATGTCCTTCAAGTCTGACCTCCTGTGTAGCCAGAAACCACCTTTGGTTTAACATGGCCTCCCCCTCCTGATGCTGACTGGGAGATCTGCAGGCCTGCTGGAGGCCATCTTGTCAGACCCCACTCACCCTGTCCCACTTCTGCTTGCCCATCTCGGGAAATAGGGTGCTCACAGCCACCTAAGCAGCTCTGCTGGGAGCTTCATCGACACTGGAGCTTTGGTCTTCTCTCTCTGCCCTGCTCCTCCATCCGGCCTGGCCCCGCCAAGATACTCCCACCAGGAACATCTGGCTGGAGAGCAGCCTGTGAGACCTTGGCTCTGCCAGTGAGCCAAAGTCTGTGGCTCATCTGCCACTCACAGAGGTGGGCAGGGAGAAGATGATGGTGCCTTAGAAAGCCAGGGGCTTGGGAAGGCAGAACCCCTGAATCTGGGGGTGGGGCACCCACTTTCCTCACCACATGCTGATGGGTGTGGCTAGAGAGCCGTTGCCCATTATGCAAAGAGATATTTTAGAAAAGCAATTGAAGCAAAAGAGATTAATGTTAAGTAACAAGCTACTAAGCATGAGAACCGGATCTGTCCACATGCCCTCAGTCACTGATTCAGTTTGGCAACCCCAGGCTCCCAAGAACCAGACCCGGGTGGGTACTGGAAAGGTGCTGGCTCCAACGGGCAACATTGAGGCAGAGGAAACAGTGGAGAGCAAATCGCGTGCAGGCCTATGTGGGTGAGGACAGCAAGTGATGTGCCTGGGCTGAGGTCTCTTGGGGGTGGGGCGCCATGACCTTAGATGAGGTGGGCCCCACCCACACAGGGCTTCAGGCTTGGGGGAGGCTGTGGACATGCCCAAAAACTTGTAATTGGCTGGCTGTCTCATAGGACAGTAGCAGTAACCGATGTCTACTGGAGACACACTGGATGCCAGGGGCTGTTTAAGGAATCTTTGTGTATTGCCCGTTGTATACCCGGAGTGGGTAGAAATTAGGCAAGAACTGGATGGGAGATGAGTCCACAAGCAGGACTAAGGCAGCACATTGCTAGGCAGCTCAGGGGTCCTGTCCTCCTGGCCAACAGTCCCACCCTCCCATTCACACCATAGCCTCCTGCCCTCAGCCCTCCCCCAGCCCTCCTCCCGGGAGCTCAGTGTTAGTAAATGGCAATTCCACCCCTCCCCCCAGGGTCTATTTGGTCCTAAACAACCCTTGGGACCCTCCCACCTCCAGTACTGAGTGCACTCGAGACTGGTCAAGCATAGATCTGGTCCAAGCGTAGATCGGGGACCCTTACAGGGGTGACTATGAGATCCTCTCCTCCCAGGGACACTGACCTCCTCCATACCCATAGCCACTGGGCCTGGCACCATGCACCACTAACCCATCGGTCCTAGGGCCCTGGGGAGGAGTGGCTGCTCCTGACCTACCTTCAGGGGAGGGGCAGAGTTGGGACCCCGCCCAGTCGGGTTGCAGTGGGGACTGGACTGGCCACGCCCATTGTTCCTGCTCAGAACTGGAAAGGGAAGGATTCCTGAGTAGTAGAGAGTCCAAGCACCATAGACAGCTCTTCCCGGCTCTGGACCCTTCTGAGTGCTGCAGTGCCACCATGCTCGCAGACCCCTGCCCTGATCCCTGCAGGGACCCCAGTAACCCCTACCCCTGTAACCTCAAGCCACTGGACCCCAGATCAGAGCCTCCTAGGGAGAAGTGAGGCCCACAGAGGTAGGACAAGCAACTAATCTGACCCCACCCAGTGCTGTGTTTTAGAGATCTCTCCTGCCCCCTTCAGAACTCACCAGGTTATCTTGATTGCTTCAGCCCGGAACACAGCCAAGCCTGAATCTGCTGAAAGTTTGTTGGACTAGACAGACAGTGGTTGTGGTTCTAGAACAGAAAACAGGAATGGACAGAGTTTGAGGAGCCTGCCCAGGGCTGATGCAAATGTTGGCCACAAGGATGGTAGAGGACTCCTGCTTAAGTACCAGCAACCCAAGTCACACCCGGCAGTGGGGCCTGGGGTGGGCAGAACCTGGCCAGAAGAGTGTGAACCACAGATTGGGAGGGACAGAGAGGCCCGTGGAGCAGGCTTTGGCCGGAATAGGGGCCTGCAATGACAGGCTCAGCAGCTGAGCCTTATTTTCAGATTGGGGTGGGTCTAGGAACAGAATGGTCAAATTTGGGTTTTCAGGTGCTCAGCAGAGGTGCGGTGGACAAAAAGGAGCCACATTTTGGGTGAGAGGTGACCAGTTTGATGGTAGGCGGGATCTGTGGGGTCAAATGTTCAGCTTAGGCTAGCAATCAGGAGTGGTCCTGGCCAGAGCTGTGGCCTGGTTTCCATCATCTTCCAAAATACAGATGAAACTGTGATAGTGATGTGACACCCCCCATGGAAATCCCCCATTTCCCCATCTGCAATGGCAGAGTTCAAAAGGAGTTGTCTAAGTCGGGGCCTCCCTGGTGGCTTAGGGATCAAGTCTCAGCACTATCACTGCTATGGCCTGGGTTTGATCCCCAGCCAGGGAGCTGACCCACATGGCACAGCAGACCTCTCCTGTCTTGCCTGCTGCTCCCCACAGCAGTGTATTTCAGTAGATCCGCCTGTTCTGCTCCCCAGTCTGGAGCTGGTGATTCCTCTCACCCCCCTGCACCTCTGGCCTACACCCCAGTTCTTCTATGCAAAAAAAAAAAAAAAAAAGTAGTCTGAGAGTCTCAACCTGCTCTGGTGTTTTAGGGATGGACATGCAGGTTGGTGGAGAGCAGAGGTAGATGAGCAGGGAGGCTACCAGTAGCAGAAGGTAAAGAGGTCGCAAAAGGTCACTGACAGTCAAAAAGTCACAGACACTGCATCTTGATGACCTCTGCCCCTCTCTGAGTAGCCTGGGTCTCAGATTGATGTCAAAATGCACAAGGAAGGAAGGCGCCAATGACAGGGTGGGAGACTGCTCTGCTAGGTTTCTTGAGGACCTGGCCCCGTTTACTGAGGCTTCTGAGTGGCCAGAATTAGCCATCCATCCAAAGGTAGCTCTAGAGGTCCTTGAGTTGAGGTGCTTGGCAGCTAGGGAGCAGCCTCAGTTTGCTGGGTGCTGTCTTTCCTTTGACCCTTCATCCTCTAGTCTAGTCCCTGCCCTAGCCCTGTGCCCCTGGGAAAGAAGTTACTTTCTGGGAACAACTGGTTGGGGTAGAAGTTTCAGATTGGGCCAGCATGGAGGGAGGGAGGAAGGAATGGAAAGAGGAGCTCGGGCCCAGGCCAGGCCTACTCCTAGGAAGGGCTGAGAAGTTGGAGCAAATCAGGGCTTAGGCCAGGACTCAGCAGGGCCAGGTGCAAGGACACAGTGGATAAACCAGTGAGTTCTCCACATTGTCGCCTGGGCCTGAGGACCTTGGACCCAGGTCAGGGAGCTGTAGGTACCTTAGATAAGAGGCACTATGACTATAGGATTCTAAACCTGCCCTGACTCCAGGCCCCCTGACCTCATGCCTTTAAAACAAGTTTTTGGTCCACAAACCAAACCCAGAGCAGTATGACCCTCTTCCTCTGTGTTCCTGACCCCACACCAGCACTAGGCCAGGTCCCTCCAAGCTTCTTTTGCTGGGCCCTGGGTGCCCCTGGCCGCACCCCCCACCAACATCCCTGCGGTCTGCCGGGAGGAAGCGGTCCCCCTCCCCCACTGTGACTCTGCGCTTCCTGCCCAGGCTGGGCCGGGAGGGGACATTTCCCGTTCACACCAAAGTTTCCCTGGCGGCGCCCAGACTGGGGCTCAGCCACTGCCCCTCTTGCCCATGGAACCAGCTCTGGGGCCAGGGGTCCAGGTAACTGGCCAGGGTGGGTGAGGTTCCCAGGGTGAGATAAGACATTCTGCCTGTACCTGTGGGGGTGTGTGCATGTGCATGGGTCTGCTTGCACATGTGTCCTAGGATCTACAGTCAGGGAAGGTTTCCTGGAGGTGGTAACTACTGAGCTAGGAAAAGGTAGCAGGCCAGAACCCAGACCAACGCTTTGGGAGTAGGTGGGAGATCTTCAGCCCCTGCACCTGTATGGGCCACAGCCACACCCCAGAGTGTATACTTAAGCCCCTCCCCTGCCTCTGTCAGGCCCTACCAGCATCCCCAAGGATTAGGGAGGTGAGGGCAGAGGGTGGCAGTCTGAAGAAAGCAGAGGGGAGGTCCTGGAAGAAGGGTTAATATGTACAGCAATTCTCTGATTCTGACCTTTCAACCTCCTGCCCTCCCTCCTCCACCTTTCCTTCACACCCTTTCTCCACCCCCACTGCTCTGCCCCCGCCCTGTCTATCCCATGTTCAACTCCATTCACATGCCACCTCTGGCTGCATCGTTCTGCCCCCTGTTCCCTGAACGCCTTTGCCTGCAGAAGGACCTGGGCTACCTGCAGCAGTGGCTGAAGGCTTTTGTGGGTGCTTTCGAGAAGAGCATCTCACTATCCTCTCTGGAGCCACGCAGGTGAGGCTAGAGCTGCATGGAGGGCAAGGGTAGGACAGGGAGGCTGAGGGGTCCTTGGTGCCCCAGTGACACCCCTCCCTGTAGGCCAGAGGAGGCCGGGGCAGAGGTACCACTGCTGCCGCTGGACGCGCTGCATGTGTTGGCCGAGCAGCTGGTCGAGGGGGACCTGCAGCAAGCCCTGCTGCTGCTGAAGCTCTTCATCGTCCTCTGCAGGTGGGTTACTTGGTCCTCTCCGGGGGAGGCACAGAACTGTGGGCCTGGCATATTCCCATCATCTCTTTCCTCATTCGCTCCCCAGGAACCCGGAGAATGTAGAGGCAGGCTGGGGCCAAGTGCTGGGGCCCCGAGTGTTGGCACTGCTGACCCGGTTGGTAGCCAAGGTGAGGTGGGCTCTACCCTGGGGGGAGGAGGGCAGGAGGCAGGCAGTAGCCCCGCTAACCTCCATCCACTCTTTCCCCATGCCCGTAGCTAAAAGGACCCCCACCACCGCCGGAGGGCAGTGGGCCTCAACTGGAAAACATCGCCCTGCATGCCCTGCTCCTCTGTGAGGGCCTCTTTGACCCCTACCAGACCTGGCGGCGCCAGCACAGCGGGTAAGAGCCAGACCCCCAACCCAGAGGACCCAGAGGAGGCTGGAGAAAGGAGGTGTCGAAGGGGTGGCTGCTGTAGTAAAGACATGGAGGGGGGAGAGGGCATCTTTGCAGGCTGGCAAAGTGATGACCAGGAGGAATGAGTGCTTGGCCTCACCCTGGCCCCTGTCCACCTTCCACCCCCACCCCCAGGGAAGTCATCAGCTCCAAGGAGAAGAACAAGTACAAGTTCCCTCCTGCGGCTTTGCCTTCTGAATTCAACGACTTCTTTCAAGGTCAGGCCCCACCCCTGCCCCAGTTGGCCCCACCTGTCCTCACCCCCAAACCTGAGCCCCTTCCCATGAACAGAACAGAGCCCCCTTATAGTGATGGCTGCACAGGGGGCTGGGAGAACCATAGGAATTTGAGTGCCCACCTCCCAAGGTATTAAGAGTTCAGAGGCAGAGAGGAGAGATAGGGCATGCCTGGGCAAAATGAGGAATTTCTTTTCTGAGCTGGAGTGAAGGCCTCCCATCAGGTGGGGGTGGTCAGTTTCCTTCCTCTTTCCATCTCATCTCCTGGATCCTCCCAGCCACCATACCAAGTCCTGATCTGGACCATCTTAACACCCCTAGTCAAATCCCTTTGTCCCTGTAACCTCTACCCAGTCTCTACCCTTCCTCAGGACAGTGTCTAGACTGTTGTCTCCACGTGCTGCTCCCTCACTCAGAGAAGCTCACCCCCGGATGTCTCTGGCCATTGCCTAGTGACCGTCTTCTCCTAGCTACTCTCTCTCCTCTCACTGGATAGAGTAGCCAGTGTTTAGATGGGCTGAGCAATAGCTCCCAGAGGGGAGAACCCAGGAGCCCCCCCGCCTCCCTTCTCCTGCAGCCTGAGTACTTCTCACAACATACACTGGATTCTGTTCCCTCAGTGGTGACCTGACCCCTTTGGGGTCAAGTCCTGCTCCTCCCGCAGCCTTCCTTTCCAGCTACACTGGTTCTCTGCTCGCCAGCCATGTCCCTGGCTTCTCATTCCTAAAATGCACGGAGTTTTCCTAATTCTGGGCCTTTGCCCATACTGTTGCCACTCCCTTCATGACCCACTCCCTTTCTCAGGTCTCACCTCAAAAGACCCGGAGGCCTCCCACCCACTCCCACCTCAATCAAGTTAGCCCTGCGGCTCTTGCTCCCCTGCCCCCCACCACACCTCCCACCCATGTGACCCAGGGCTGGTCCTTTCTGCTCTCTGGGTTTCATCCGTGACCTGGCATCCTGTCCAGTTTGCCGAAGCAAGGCCAGGCGGGCCTCCCACACATGAAGCTGTGAAAGCCCCTAGAAGTCCCAAGTAGGGGCACTGGGAGGGATGGGGGCATTTACGGTAGATACAGAGCAGGTCACAGGAAGCTCCAACTGTCACTGGGTGGAGGAACCAGGAGATTTGCATCTGAGAAGCTAACCTAGGGTTGCCATGTGGAGGCAGATGAGAGGGGGCATGTATTCATCCTGGAGTCTCCACTTTAGGGCTTAAGGATTTGGGTGCTAGACTCCTGGAGAAGGGCCATGTTCCTTTCAAGCTTCCCAAAGAAGTGCTGTCCCCACAGACATGTTAGAGAGTTAGGACTTTTTTAGGCTCCTCAGGGCAGAAATCGTCTTCTTAGATGGGCCTCACAGCCCAGTTTCTTGGCCCAGCCCCCCAGCCCCTCCTCAGAGCACCCACCTCTGTATAGTCTTTGTAGCACCAAAGCCCTGCGGCCTTGGTGACATTGTCCTGCCCTGCTCACTCCCCCTACTCAGAGAGCCTACAGGATGCAGATCGCTTGCCTCCGGTGCTGCTGCTGCGACTCATCCACCTCTTTGGTGCCATCCTTGCAGGAGGGAAGGTAGGCAGGGAGGAGCTGTGGGCAGCTGTCTAGGGGTCTCTGCTGGGTGAGCCCCATGCCCACTGAGTGTCTCTGCCCACACCTGCAGGAGAACGGACAGATGGCTGTGAGCACTGGTTCTGTGCAGGGCCTGCTGGCTGTAGTTCGGGACTGGGGGCGACGGCCAGCCCAGGACCCTCGCCTAGTGCTGCTGGCACTAGAGGGACTGGTGGGTGCAGTCCATGTTCTGCACACCAGCCGCACACCCCACCGCGGACCAGAGCTGCGCACCCTGCTCGAGGGCTACTTCCGAGTTCTTAATGCTGACTGGCCAGCGGGGCCAAGCCCAGGCCCTGAAGAGGCCCTCGTCACTCTACGGGTCAGCATGCTCGGTGGGTATGGGCTTCCAGACTCTTGGAGAGGTGGCACCAGGAGGGGAAGGCTCAAGTGATGATAGAAAAGTGGGTGGCATGGGGAAGGTTTAAGACTGACCAAAGGTGCTGCTGGGAGGGCATTAGGGCATAACCTGACCCTTGACCCTTCCACAGATGCCATCCCCATGATGCTGGCCTGTGAGGACCGGCCAGTGCTGCAGGCCACCTTCCTCAGCAACAATTGCTTTGAACACCTGATCCGTCTCATCCAGAATAGCAAGGTGAGCAGGGCCCAGGCTGAGCTGAAAGGGCCTAGATCCCAGAGGCTGAGACCCATGCACATGTGGGTGCTAAGCTGCTGCCGAGCAAACTTGGGCTAGAACCAACTTGGGGTTTCTGACTGGTGGGATGACCTGAAGGTCATTGGGAGGGCCTGGGACATGGACAAGGACAGAGCCTGGGGCATAGGATGACTCTGAATCCCATAGGAAGGTGTTTTGGAAAAATGGGGGCTGCCCATGCCCATTCATTGTCTGCCTTTTCTCTAGCTCCAGGTACAGGGGTAGGATGAGGGGACCACTGTTGTTAGATGCAGTGCCTACTCCTGCCCAATTCCCACCCCCTACCCACAAACTCTGTTCCTCTGAGCAGGGCCTGGGCAGCCGGATCCTCTGCTATTCCCTAGAGCCTGGTAGGGCACTGGCCTGGGTCCCAGGGCACCTCCCTCCCTCTGAGGCAGAGCCCTGACATGCTGCTCTAGGCCCTGCTCTAATCCTGCCCCTCTCCATCTTCCTCTTTTCTCTCCTGCTTCCTTCACCCTTGCCCTTCCCCTCCCCCACAGCTGTATCTGCAGGCCCGGGCGCCCCCTGAGGGGGACAGTGACCTGGCTACCCGGTTACTGACTGAGCCCGATGTCCAGAAGGTACCACCCTGGGGCTGACCAGCTCAGGCACTCACCTCCCTGGGCACCCACCCCCTGAGGCTCCTCACTGACCCTTTCCTGCACTAAGCAGGGGAATAAGGAGATACGAATGTGTAAGGCCTGGTGTGGCCTGGCATTGGGGGGTGGGTCTCCCATGCTGTCTCACCCTCTGTCCCACGTCCCATCCTAGGGAATGGGACAGGAGTGGTCTGTGCCCTGTCTTGTGTTCTACTGGGAGCTGGGATTTAGCTGTGCCAGGCTGGAAGGAACCTTCGAAACTCAACTACCCACCCCTGTTTCACAGAGGAGAAACAAAAGCCCAGATGCCTCAGAATTTGGCTGTAGTCACTCGCAGAAAGACATGTCCCCCACAGGGGACCACTGCTTTCCATGGGTCCTTGCACCTGCCCTAAGCAGGTCACTGCAGTCCCCATGCTCTCGTGTTGACCTCCCTGCCTCGGCCTTGTGTGAGGCTGTGTGAGGCTGCAGGCTGTCAGTTGGAGGCCTTCCAGGTGGCGCACCTCTGGTTGCTCGCCCCCTGGACCCCAGCTGCAGAGCACCACCCTGGTTTTGTCTTCGTGAGGCAGCCCCATGTTTTGGCCGTTTTCTAGAGCCTGTCTGGCTGTTCATCTATAAAGCTAGCGAGGGAAGGTGGCTACGCCTTATATTTACAAATGAGAGAGGCAGAAGAGGCCTGAGGTCAGTCAAGAGTTAGGCAGAGCAGGCACCAGGAGCTCCCTGGGGCCAAAATATGGCCCGGCACCTGCTGATATGCTCTCTAACTGCTCCTGAACCCCCACCTCCTCATGGTAGGGTAGGTCAGGGAGAGGGAGCAGCATGCTCTTGGCTGTCTGGTTCAGCCAGGGCAGCTTCAGTGTCTCCACCTGGACCAGGTGGCAAGAGGCAGGGTAGGTCTCAAAGGTCTCGAAGGTTCTTCTGGTTCTAATACCCTGTGATTGATCTTTCCTAAATTCCCCAACCTCCTGTTAATCATCATGGGTGATGGGACACTCGCTGGCCTCCCTGCACGTGTGTGTCTAGCATGGGTGGGGATGGGTGGGTGTGGAGGTCCATCCACCAGACAATGCGCGGCGGGATAGGGGCTCAGCAAGAGGGTCTACTGTTGATGTGCCCTGGTGAGGCCCTTCCCAGCCTTGATTTCTTCCTTGGCTCTCTGTCAGAGTGGGTCTTGCCAAGCTGCTCAAGAGGGCCCTAGAGTCGGGGTGAGGGCCATAGTAGTTTGGGCAAGGAGTAGAAGACATGGTGTGCAGACAGGGTTGCCACACTCCCAGGGCCCCATGCCTTGGGGTGCCAGCTGCTGGCTTTGTACCCTTTAACTCAAGGGGCTGCCAGTTGTGACACCCTAGCATCTGCCCCTCCTGACAGCCCCTCTCCATCCCAAGGTACTGGACCAGGACTCAGATGCCATTGCAGTCCACGTTGTCAGGGTGCTGACATGCATCATGAGTGACTCCCCCTCAGCCAAGGTGAGGACACTCCCCCTCAGCCAAGGTGAGGACACTTGCTCTCCAATGATAGTAGGGGATGGGGAAGGAGTTAAATTGATCACACAGGGCCTCCCTGGTGGCGCAGCAGGTTGAGCGCTGTGAAGCTGTCCGAAGCCTCTGCAGCACTGGTTCGATTCCCAGCCGGACAGGGAGATTCCCACATGGCGCAGCAGACCTCTCCTCTCTCACCTGCTGCTCCCCTCAGCAGTGTGCTTCGGTCCATCTGCCTGTTCTGCTCACTGCTCTGTCTCTGGTGAATTCTCTCACCCTCCCGTGCCTCTGGCCTGTACCCCAGTTCTTGTATAAATAAATAAATCTTTAAAAAAAATAAATTGATCACACAGCCCCAGAGTTGGCCTGGTTGGTGGCTATTAGAGCAAGTCAGCTGGGGATATGATTGTCCTGCTCTCTAGGGTAAAGATTAGCCCACTGGGCTGCCATGGTCCTTGGTCAGTGCTGAGAGCTGGATCAGTGCTGATGGGGGATGAATACTTGTGGGCTCCCCACCATTTGCAGCATTTGGAGGTGGCTCCACACCCTGCCTCCCTCTGCAGCCACCCACCCTGCTAATATTGATCCAGAGAGCCAGGCAAGGGAGCCCTGAAAATTGATGCCTCCTTCAAGGTTTCCATGGGGTACAGGTTTGCACTGGGGCCCATGTACACACTTACCCTTCTCACCCAACCCCACGTAGGAGGTGTTTAAGGAACGCATTGGCTACCCTCAGCTGCATGAGGTTCTGCAGAGCCACGGTCCCCCCACCCATCGGCTGCTGGAAGAACTGCTTAACATGGTGAGGACAGGGGCTTGGGTCCCCAGGACAGCCAAGACTAAGTCAGGGCTACCATGGGAGGTGAGCTGGGGGCCTGTGTTGACTGTGGCCAGTACATAACATAGTGTGACCTATGGCCTGACCACATGTGGCAGTGTCACTGGGATGAGGATTCTGGGCTGAAGGGGCCCAGAAAGGGCTGCACATTAGCAAGTTAAGGATCAGGTTGGGAACATGCAGTTGGGGCTTAGGCCAACCCAGACTGGGAGCCAGGGGTCAGTGGTGCTGAGGGACTGTTGGTAGGAGTGACAGCCCTCCACACCACTCTGACTTTCCTGAGCCTCGAACACACCTGTAAGCAGGAGAGGTTGGCGCGTGTTGCCTTCCCATGCTATAGGCAAGGAAACTGAAATTGAAAAAGAAAGCCCCACGGTTGGCAGGCTGGCTTGTTCCACACCAGTTGCCCAGGAACTATCACATTCTCTCCACCCGCAGGCTGTGGAGGGCGACCATAGCACATGGCCACCACCAGCAATCCACAATGAGCAGCCGGTGCTGGTACTGATGCAGTGGCTGCCCACCCTGCCCACTGCTGAGCTGCGGCTCTTCCTCGCAAGACGCCTCTGGGGGCTCTGTGACAGCTGCTCTGCCAGTCGTGCCACCTGTGTGCAGGCAGGCCTGGTGGGCTGCCTGTTGGAGACTCTCAGTGCAGGGGTAGCCCTGGGGGCCCGCTGCCAAGAGCAGCTTTTGGCGCTGTTACAAGCCCTGGGTCGTGTGTCACTAAGGCCCCTGGAGCTGCGTCGCCTGCTGCGCCCCCCGCCGGGGCTGGACTCAGGGCTGGATGGACCAGAGTCTGGGAATGCCCGACACGCGGGTGCCATCATTCGGGTATTATCAGGCATGGCCCGGCACCAGGGCCCTGCGCGAGCCCTGCGCTACTTCGACCTGACACCTAGCATGGCGGGTATTATGGTACCTCCTGTGCAGCGGTGGCCCGGACCTGGCTTCACCTTCCATGCCTGGCTCTGTCTGCACCCCACTGCTCCAACACCTGCCATGGCTCCTAGCCGGCCTCTCCAGAGAAAGCAGTTGTACAGGTAGGTGACTTCCAGGGACCAGGGCACAGTGCCAGGGTGAACAGAATAAGTAGGCATAACTGACTTGGCCTGCCCCCAGCTTCTTCAACAGCAGCGGCTCAGGGTTTGAGGCCTTCTTCACGGCAGCTGGGACCCTGGTAGTGGCCGTGTGTACCCGGAAGGAGTACTTCACCATGAGCTTGCCTGACGTGCCCTTTGCCGACTCTGTCTGGGTGAGCATCCATCCTCATGGCCTGGGGTGGGTAGAGGGAGCGCCAAGTCCCAACCCTCACCTGATGCGGCTTCTCTTCTAGCACCGTGTGGCCATTGTCCATGTGCGCCGGCCCTTCAGCCAGAACCTTGTCCATGTCTACAAAGATGATCATCTAGTCAAGACAGCTCCCCTACGCTTCCCCTCCCTCTGTGAGGTGTGCTAAGCAGGGTTGGGGGAGGACTTGAGTGGTTGGAGGGATTTGGACAGGGTGGGGCCTGGACCCTCTGTGTTCCCCACTCCCCAGACAGGCCTCGGACTTCAGCCTCTGGGGTCTGTGCAGGCCTGGGGGTCACTGTGAGGAAGTGGATGCAGGTGGAACCCCAGGCTTTGCTGTGGCCTTAACATCCCCCAACCCTGGCCCCGCAGCCTTTCTCCTCCTGCTGTATCGGCTCTGCTGGGCACCGTACAACGACCACCACCACGGGGCTGCCTGCGCCATCAGCCCCCGCTGCCCTGGCTCACACTCATCCCTCCCTCACCCGCTCCCAGTCCGTCCCAGCCACCACAGGGCTCGGCTGGGGGTCTGGGCTGGTGGCCCCCCTGCAGGAGGGCAGCATCAGCTCCACCCTTGCAGGCACTCAGGACACTCGGTGGGGCAGCCCCACGTCCCTGGAGGGAAAGCTGGGGGCCGTGGCCATCTTCCATGAAGCCCTGCAGACGCCAGCCCTGCACGTCCTGTACACCCTAGGTATGCACTGTTATCCACCCTGCCTGCTCCAGCCCCTCCCCATTGCCCAAGACCCAAGAGGTTGGGTCTTACAAAATGCCCAGGATAGAAGCTAGGGGCCCAGGGAAGAGAACGTGTCCCTACAGCCTGTCCTCTGAGCAGAGAAGAGCAGGCACTGGATAGGGTTTAGCCAAAGGCTCAGCCAGGTCTGAAGCCCCCTACCCATGCCCTAGGGCCCAACGAGACAGCACCCTTCAAGCCTGAGGGGGAACTACATGAACTTGGCACAAAGCTCCTCCTCCATTACTCACCTCAGGTATGTGTGGGGTGGGTAAGGGGGGAAGTAGTTGACTCAGCCCTACTAACTCCCCCTGACTTCTACACTCTATGTGTTGCTCCCTCCATCTGACCCTTGTTGCCTGCTCACCCCCTGCCCCCAGGCCTGTAAGAACAACATCTGCCTGGACCTGTCCCCTGGCCATGGGCTGGATGGCCGTCTGACGGGCCACAGGGTGGAGACCTGGGATGTGAAGGTGTGTGTGCTGGGGACAGCATGTGCAGCACCATGACCATGGGCAGGGTGGGCTGGGCAGTGGCACTGTGCTCTGGGAGGACTTTTCCTCTGAAGAGAGGAAAACTTTCAGGTTCCCAGACTGGTAGATCTGCTAGGGTGGGTCCCAGGAAATGGCTGGGACCTGCTCTCTCACAGCTGTCCCCCCAATCCCCAGGATGTGGTGAATTGTGTGGGAGGCATGGGTGCCCTGCTGCCCCTGCTGGAGCAAGTGGCGGCACGGCCGCAAGAGGCTGAGGCAGGCCCAGCCGAAACACATGACCTTGTGGGGCCCGAACTCACCTCTAGCCATAACACTCAGGGCCTGATTCTCCCACTGGGCAAGTCCTCAGGTAAGAATCCCTGACTCCTGGGTTGGCATGCTGGGGGCAGGAGTGTCTGAGGGTCCTGTGACCACTGGCAGGCCCTTAACACCATCTGTTCCTTTCCTGGCGGCCAGCAGAGGAGCGAATGGAAAGGAATGCAGTGGCTGCCTTTCTGCTGATGGTGCGGAACTTCCTGCAGGGCCACACTGTCAACCAGGAGAGCCTGCTACAATGCCAGGGGCCTGCCATCATCGGGGCCCTCCTGCGCAAGGTGGGACCTGGTGGAGCTGGCGGGGAGCGGGCTGTCCTGAACAAGGGGATTGGGTGGGGAGGCCATGAAAGGGGGACATGATGCCCTGTTAGTGAGGAAGAGCCTCCTGGCAGAGATGGCATTTGAGTGGCGTCTTGAAAGTCTGGATGAGGTTTGGCTGAGAGGGTCTGGGAGAAATGCCAGCAGAGCTTGGAGCAGGAGTCCTGCATGGTGGGAGCCTGCGCTTCAGAGATAGCTGGAGATCACTGAAGGTTTTTGAGCAGGCAGGATGTTTGTTCATGTGCCTGTGAAGAGCAGGGTGGAATCTGGGTGTCTTGACAGCAGACAGGCAGGGTCTGTCAGCTTACCCAGCTCCTTGTCCCACTCCAGGTCCCCAGCTGGACGATGGACATGAATGTGCTCATGTCTGCCCAGCTGCTGATGGAGCAGGTGGCAGCTGAAGGCAACGGGCCCCTCCTCTATCTACTGTATCAGCATTTGCTTTTCAACTTTCATCTCTGGACGCTCAGCGACTTTGCTGTACGCCTTGGTAGGTATGGGGACTTGGTGAGGGGAAGGTGGAGTGAAGGTCTGAGAAGTTACAACTCCACTGTGGGTGATCTATATGTCTTGGGCCATTTGGGGTGTCTGGCGGTTATGGCCCTGTCCTGGAGGATGGGACGGGGCCTCAGCTCAGCCCAGCGGCCTGAGCCCTCTGCTGATGCCCACTCAGGTCACATCCAGTACATGTCAAGCATAGTCCGTGAGCATAGACAGAAGCTGCGGAAGAAGTATGGAGTTCAGTTCATCCTGGATGCCCTGCGCATCCACTACAGGTGAGGCTGGTGGGAGGGCAGATGGGCCAGGGGGCTAACACAGTGGCCTCTGGCCTTGGGGACAGGGCGGTTCAGTTCCCCAGCTCACTTGCCCACTCTCCCTCTTCTCTACCCTCTGTGCCCCTGCCTTCTGGTCCTGGGTGGGTGTGCTTGCTGGGATTGGCCCAGCCCGCAGCGGGAGCGCCCTCTAGCGGCTGACGACCTGCGCACTGTGCAGACTTCGCTCCTGGGTCTGGCCCGGGAGTTCCTGGTCCGGAGCTCCTCTGTTGATGACATGCAGGTCGTGCTGAGCTTTTTGGTCGCAGCGGGTGATGATAGCCAGGTAGGCTGAAGGTTGGCAAGAATGGGGCTTGGGTGAGGGGTGGTGTGTGGACCACGTGTTGAGGGGACCCAGCCCAGTGACTTTGTATCCTCAGGTGGTGGGGGCCCTGGACCTACTGCTGGCACTACTGCAGTCCTCTCCAGCACAGGAGTCTTTAGCTGTCTTCCTACTCGAGCCAGGGAACCTTGAGGTGCTGTTGGCACTGCTGGTGCGGCCAAGGTCACTGCCCCTGCTGCCTGACCGAGTCTGCAAGGTATACCCAGCCCACCCCCAACCCTGGCTTTCCATTCACTGCGGCCCCTGCCTGAGGTCCAAAGAGGTGAACAGGACTAGGGCTAGTAGATAAAGCTAGCTTTACAGGCCACTCTGAGAGCCACGTACCTGTGCAGTGACTTCCCTTTCTTCAGGGACTCCTTTCCCATGATGACACCTCCTCTCTCTGCACCCCAACACACAGATCCTATGCAAGCTGCAGCAGAACGAGCGCTTACCTGAGCGGAGCCGCCAGCGGCTCCGACTGGGAGAGTGTGGCCTTCAGGGGCTTGTCACCTGCCTGCCCGAGGGGACTGTTTCCCCCCAGCTCTGCCAGGGCCTCTGCAAGCTGTTCCTGGGGGCAGGTACAATCTGGTTGGGGCTGAGAGGAAGACCAAGTGGAGGGGTGACAATGATGCAGGAAACAGGGCAGGTGGCAATAGGGAAGGTGTTGGTAAAGGGGCCAGCATGAGCCAGCAGCGGGAGCACAGCCCCTACTGGGGTCAGTGCCTCAAGTCCCCTCTGGCCATTCTTCCAGATTACCTCAACCTCTCAGATCTGTTGGCTGTGGTGCAGCTGTCCCTGCAGGCTGACCTCAGTGTCCGGCTGGACATTTGTCGCTTGGTAAGTGTGTATGTATGGTCCGGGGGCTTCTACCCCCTTTGCCTGCCTGTGATGAGGGGTCTGCAAAAGCCCAAGAAGGAGGGTGCAGGGCAAGCGGTCCAGTGTATCTCTTACTTTCTGTGTCTACTTCACAGCTCTTCCACCTCATCTACAGACAACCAGACGTAGTGCAGCTGCTGGCCCAACAAGCCGGCTGGCAGGATGTGCTAACCCGGCTGTATGTCCTGGAGGCTGCCACAGCTGACAGCCCCCTGCCTCTGACCCCAGAAGTGTCCACTTCCCCAGAGTCAGCCTTAACCAAGCCACCCACTGAGTCACCTGAGTCTTCCGAAGTTTTCCTGCCCTCAGAGGCGACCTGCCCTGACCCTGATGCCTTGTACCACGCTCTTTCCCCCTTTTGTTCACCTTTTGACCTGGGCCTGGAACGGGCCAGTGTGGGCTCAGGCAATACTACTGGTGGCAGCAGTGGGACCCTTACTCCAGCCAGCTATCCCGGAACACCTTCCCCACTCGATGGACCCCGGCCCTTCCCTGCTGCCCCTGGCCACCACAGCTCCAGTCTCTCCAATGTGCTGGAGGATGGCAACCTCCCAGAGCCCACCGTCAGTGGAGATAACACCTCTAATACCAGCAACCCTCAGGTGAGGCTTACCACCAGCCAGGGGTTAGTGCTGGAACCCAGTGCAAGTGGCATAGTCTTTCCAAGATGTGTCCCCATTGTGTATCAGGCCTGCGGCTGCCAGGTAAACCTAGTGCCACCCTCTGTAGCTCTGTCTGCAGTTACCTTCCCAGTGGGATCCCAGGACAGGGCGAGTCAGATGGAGAGAAAGGGGTACCAGCCACATTTCAGAAAGGTAGAGGTTTTCCAGGGCCTATGGGTGGAATAGCTCTAAGCCCTGCCTTGTGCTTCTGGGTTTGGAGATTCTATGGCATTTTTCTAGAAAGTTTCAGAGTTCTTAAGGCTTGTGAGGACTGTGGGATAACTTTGTGAACTGCCTCATCTTCTCTAAGGAGTCAATGAGAACCCAGGATTCTTCCTGGACTCCAGGCAGCCAGGCCGACTTGTAGGCTGAACCCCTTGTAGTGGGTAGGCAGGGGGTTCCAAACATAGATGGCATGGGGGTCAGCCCCCCACCCCAGCCCACACCTCACGCTGCCCACCTGTGCCCATAGCAAACCTCTGAGGAGGAGCTGTGCAACCTACTCACCTACGTGCTATTCTCGGTGACATGGCGGGGTGTGGCAGACAGTGACGAGGCTGCCTGGAGGGAGCGTGGCCAGGTCTTCTCGGTGCTCACCCAGCTGGGGGCCTCAGCCACACTCGTGCGTCCCCCAGACTGCATCAAGCGCAGGTAAGGGGGTAACTCAGGATGTTGGGGCCTCCTGGAAGACTATGGATAAGGAGGTGATAGAGAGCTGAGTTCCTCGCCCACCCCCCAGCCTCCTGGAAATGATGCTGGAGTCAGCCCTGACGGACATCAAAGAGGGGCCCCCTGGGGTCCTGGTCAACCCTACCCAGCAGGCACTTTGGCTTCTGCGCCTGCTGCAGGACTTCCTGTGTGCTGAGGGCCATGGTAATCAGGAGCTGTGGAGTGAAAAGGTAAGACAGCTCAGAGGGTAAGCCGTGTAGGCGTGTGTGTTCACATGAGCTGGCAGCATCGGGTCTGGGAGGTGAATGAACACACATGCAGTCATGGGTACATTAACATTGGTGCCTGAGTGTGGGCTTTGTATACACAAACTCCTCCTGGGCCCCTAGCCCAAACCTTATCTAGCTCCCTCCCCATGGACTCCTTCCCTCCTCTGGTGACACTACCTCTATTATGGTGTGTGTGGCAGCTCTTTGAAGGTGTGTGCAGCCTGCTTGATCGCCTGGAAGCCTGGCCACACCTGGCCAATGGCACGGCGGACCTCCGGGAGATGGCACAGATTGGCCTGCGCCTGGTGCTTGGCTACATCCAGCTGGAAGACCCACAGGTGAGCATGGGGTGAAGAGCAGAAGGGGGTGGCAAGTGTAGGGAGCAGTGGGGGTGGCCAGGCACCACCCACACTTGCCTTTTTGCTCACAGCTGCATGCACAGGCCTACGTGAAGCTGCACGCGCTGCTGCAGACCGCAGTGCCCATGCGCCGCGAGGAGGCCTGCTATGTGCTCTCTAAGCTAGAAGCTGTGCTATCCCGGGCGCTGAACGCCACCCACTCCGAGATGACCACCAAGGGCGCAGGGCCCCCAGCTCTGACTGCTGCCGCCACGGAACGCTACTCTTGGCTGGTGCCACTTGTGCGCACGTTGCTGGATCGTGCCTACAAGCCACTGGGGCTGCAGTGGGGGCTGCCTTCCCTGCCACCAACCAACGGCAGCCCCACCTTCTTTGAGGACTTCCAGGCCTTTTGTGCCACGCCAGAATGGCGCCATTTCATCGACAAGCAGGTGCCTGGAGGTGGGGGCACAGGGAGAGAAGCTGGGTCAGGAGGCCGGGGCCAGTGTTGAGTACTGGTCGCTCTCCACTCCTTGCCATCCTCCAGGTGCAGCCTGCCATGTCGCAGTTTGAAATGGACACCTATGCTAAGAGCCATGACCTCATGTCAGGTTTCTGGAATGCCTGCTACGACACGCTCATGAGCAGAGGGCAGCGGCGCCAGCGGGAGCGGGCATATAGCCGTCGGGCCTTCCAGGTGTGTGGCCTGGGGAACAGCTGATGGGACAGGGTGAAGAAACTGGAACAGAACAGGAAGCAGTCAGTGAGACTCATGGCCTTGTCCTCCTTCACCCCTAGGAGCTGGTGTTGGAACCTGCGCAGCGGCGAGCTCGCATGGAAGGGCTACGCTTCACAGGAGCCCTGAAGCAGCAGGCTGCACAGCACTCCACCGCCATGCTGCACTGGGGGGCGCTGTGGCGTCAGCTCTCCAGCCCTTGTGGGGCCTGGGCCCTGAGGTGGGCAGGGCTTGGGCTGGTTGGTGTAGGGTAGGCAGGTCTTGAGAGAGGGTCTGGAGCTCTAATCTGTGTTTGAGTGACACCTGGGAGGAATGGGGTGGTTTACCCCCCAACCATGACCACGCTGGGGACATACCTGCAGGGACCCGCCCACCCCTCACTGGAAACTGTCCAGTGCGGAGACGTACTCTCGCATGCGACTGAAGCTGGTGCCCAACCATCACTTCAATCCTCACCTGGAAGCCAGTGCCCAGCGTGACAACCTGGGTGAGAAGGAGTGCTGAGCTGGGTCCACCCACCTCACATCCCTGTCCTGCCTAGCTCTGGCTGAGCACCCTTTGGTCTCTTGTAGGTGAGGCCCCTCTGACACCCACCGAGGACACCTCGCTGCCTTTAGCAGTGACCAAAGAGGCCAAAGTCAGCACTTTGCCCGGGGAGCTGCAGGAAGACCAGCTGGGGGAGGACGAGCTGGCTGCGCTGGAGAGCGCGTGAGTGGGACTAGGAGAGAGCTGGCTGCGGGGCGGGCGAAGGTCTGCTCCAGTGTGGGCATGCCTGCCATGGGATTGGTTCTTGGTTCCTGAGCCCATTCCCTCCTTGGCTGCAGGGCTAACGCCCTAAAGGGACTGTTCAGAATCAGCTGTGGGGTTGGAGGAAGCTTTCAAACAGGACTGATGTTGCTTTATCATGGCTAGGCACCCCAGAGCAGGACTATGAAACACAAACCAGAGCAGCATGGGCCCAAGGCAGGCGCTGCGGGTAGGCGTTGGTGGACTGACAGAACTGACAAGACAGTCAGAGATACAGGTTGGGGGTGTGGCTGGGGGCCAGTGAGCGCCAGACCCTGGGCAGCTCCTTCCTGTCCTCCATGAGGTATAAGATAGTGACTTGCTGGCACTTGGTGGTCCTTGGGCTTGTTGGGAAGGGGGTCCCGGAACCCAGAGCCTGAGGCGGGTACTGGTGTCTAGGATGGAGGCGGCAGAGTTGGACGAACAGCATGAGAAGCTGGTGCTGACAGCTGAGTGCCAACTAGTCACGGTGGTGGCTGTGGTCCCAGGGACGCTGGAGGTCACCACACAGCATGTGTACTTCTACGATGGTAGCACCGAGCGTGTGGAAACAGAGGAGGGTATGTTCCAATGTCATGATGGCAGAGCATGGCGGGGGTCTGGTGGGGCCAGGCCAATTGACTCCTGGACCTGCTGTCCTTCCCCACAGGTATCGGCCATGACTTCCGGCGCCCGCTGGCCCAGCTGCGTGAAGTCCACCTTCGGCGTTTCAACCTGCGCCGTTCAGCACTTGAGCTCTTCTTCATTGATCAGGCGAACTACTTCCTCAACTTCCCGCCCAAAGTGGGCGGGTCCACAGCGTCATCTCCTTGCCAGGCCCCCAAGACCCCACCACGCCCCATCCCACCCCACACCCAGGTACGGAACCAGGTATACTCGTTGCTCCTGCGCCTGCGACCCCCTAGCCAAGGCTACCTAAGCAGCCGCTCCCCCCAGGAGATGCTACGTGCCTCTGGCCTCACTCAGGTAAGAACTCGGGGGTGTATGGTGATGGGGGCTGAGACTGGGACCCTGAGGGAAGACCGCTGGACAGCCCAGTTGGCTCACTTCTTTCTTGCGCCTGTTCCCCAGAAATGGGTGCAGCGTGAGATATCCAACTTCGAGTACTTGATGCAACTCAATACCATTGCGGGGCGGACCTACAACGACTTGTCTCAATATCCTGTGGTGAGGGCCTGCTGCACACCCCATCCCTGCCCCTCTGGGCTGCCAGCCCTGGTTCACCCAAGTGCAGGCACTGATGGTGGGCCAGACCCTGAGCTTGGAGCTGGGTGGGTGCTGCCTCTTCCCTGCCCACCTCCCACAGCCAGCCTCCCCTTTTAGTCTCTGTTCTCCCAGAGGGAATCCTGCTCCAGGACAGTCCGTCCTGGTCCTGTATGGCCCCCCCAAGTGGTACATCCCCATCTTCTGAGGGTGAGGGCAGGGCAGGGTGGGCAGCTAGGTCATCGGGGCCTTCATACACCCCCTGCCCGGGTGGGCGGCCAGTTCCCCTGGGTCCTACAGGACTACGTGTCCCCAACCCTGGACCTCAGCAACCCCGCCGTCTTCCGGGACCTGTCCAAGCCCATCGGTGTGGTGAACCCCAAGCATGCCCAGCTCGTGAGGGAGAAGTGAGCACATGGGTGGGCTGGACTTGGGGGTTGGGATGGGCAAGGGGAGGGTTTCCGTTGATTCCGCTAATCGTGGCTCCAGGTATGAGAGCTTTGAGGACCCGGCTGGCACGATTGACAAGTTCCACTATGGCACCCACTATTCCAATGCAGCGGGCGTGATGCACTACCTCATCCGCATGGAACCCTTCACCTCCTTGCACGTCCAGCTGCAGAGTGGCCGGTGGGGCCCAGTGGGTGATGGGTGGGTGGAGGGGCAGAGGAGGGGAAGAGGCAGGTCCTCCAGGCATCTTCAGCCCTCTGGCTCCCTTCTTTCCCCCAGCCACGCCTTCTCCCTCCATGTCCCCCGTCTCCCGACCTCACTTTGGCCCATATCCTCCCCCAGCTTTGACTGTTCTGACCGGCAGTTCCACTCCGTGGCGGCAGCTTGGCAGGCCCGCCTGGAAAGCCCTGCTGATGTGAAGGAGCTCATCCCAGAGTTCTTCTACTTCCCTGACTTTCTGGAGAACCAGAATGGTAGGAGCTGCGGGGGGTGAGGGGGAAGTGAAGAGAACAGACTGGCCAGGGGATAACCAGGGAGCAGGTGAAGTGGCACAGCAAGACAGCTGATCCAGTCCTCTGTGCCAGGCTTTGACCTTGGCTGCCTCCAGCTGACCAATGAGAAGGTGGGCGACGTGGTGCTACCCCCCTGGGCCAGCTCTCCTGAGGACTTCATCCAGCAGCACCGCCAGGCTCTGGTGAGGAGCACACAGATGGGGCCGAGAGTCAGGGTGGGGCTGGGCTCACCCTAGACTGACTGCCCCCCCACCCCAGGAGTCAGAGTACGTGTCCGCCCACCTGCACGAGTGGATCGACCTCATCTTTGGCTACAAGCAGCGGGGGCCAGCGGCAGAGGAGGCCCTCAATGTCTTCTATTACTGCACCTATGAAGGTGGGCAGTGATCTGCACTCAAGGCTGGGGGGCGGGGGAGAGGCGGGGCTGGGGCACAGACAAGGAGTGCTGCATGCAGAGGGCACAGAGGGAATATTGATTGTTCTGCTTGCCTACCCAGGGGCAGTGGACCTGGACCATGTGGTGGATGAGCGAGAACGGAAGGCTCTGGAGGGCATTATCAGCAACTTTGGGCAGACTCCCTGTCAGCTGCTGAAGGTAAAGGCAGCTTGGAAGACACTGGTCAGGGATGCCCATGTCATGGTGCTGACCAGCCACTTGCCCACAGGAGCCACATCCAGCTCGGCTGTCCGCTGAGGAAGCAGCCCAGCGCCTTGCACGTCTGGACACTAACTCACCTAGCATCTTCCAGCACCTGGACAAGCTCAAGGCCTTCTTCGCAGAGGTGAGAGGAGGCAGGTCCTCACCTTCTAACTCCATGAAATCCATGAAATGGATTAGCCCTACCCCAACTTCTTGGGGTAGATGGAAAGCCTAAGTCAAGGTCACTGATACTAAGACATCTTGGAAAGTAAACATGAGAGGAATATGGGAGCAGCTCGAGGAGTCAGGGTGAACCCAGGACAAGGGGTACTCACCTAGTCAATCTGAAAGTCCTCACTTTCCTGTCTGCATCCCAGAATGGTTCTAGGCCTGACTTTTTTAGATGCCTCTCCTACTCCAAGGGGACTTGGAGTAATAGAATGGGAGGAGTAATGTTGAGACAAGCTTGAGATTCGGAAGGATCTTTCTTGTTCATCCTGGCTTTTCATTTTCTGAGAGGGTCTCTTGAAAGCCCACTGGGCTCTCATGCTTGTTTTCTGGAGGAACCTCTGCCTTTATGACGCCTGGCTGTGACCCCTGGGGTGAGGGCGAAGGGAGGAGTGGGGCCTCAGAGAGCAGGTAGTGTACAGTGTGCGCCCCGCTGGCTGCTCTGGTACAGCTAGCCCTGCGTTCTGCCCTGCAGGTTGTCAGTGATGGTGTGCCCCTGGTGCTGGCCCTGGTTCCCCACCGGCAGCCCCACTCCTTCATCACCCAGAGCTCCCCAGACCTGTTGGTAAGTGCACTGGGCACTGACCTCCACTCCCTCTCTGCTCTGCACCAAATCCACCTCTGTCCCCTCTCGCCCACAGGTGACCGTGAGTGGCAGTGGGCTGCTGGGTACCCACAGCTGGTTGCCCTATGACCGCAACATAAGCAACTACTTCAGCTTCAGCAAAGACTCCAGCTTGGGCAACCCCAAGTAGGACAGAGGGCTGTGGTGGCGGTGGGCTATAAATACCCTGCACCCTGACTTGTCTCCCCATCCAGTCAGAATTTGGGCCATATGTAAGGTCTGGCCAAGGTCTCTGAAGGCTGGGGCCTTCTACGTCACCTGGCCTTACCTGCCATCCCTTTCATGGGCCAGGATGCAGCGACTACTGAGTGGCCCCTGGATTCCTGACGGTGGCGTGAATGGGCGAGCCCTGGCAGTGGCCCCTGATGGAAAGCTGCTGTTTAGTGGTGGCCATTGGGATAGCAGCCTGCGAGTGACTGCCCTACCCCGGGGCAAATTGTTGAACCAGCTTCACCACCACCTTGGTATGAGTGCCTTGGAGTTGTAGGTGGTGCATGTGGGGGCGGGTTGCAAGGCCGGTGGGGGTGGAGGCGCGGTGACCACTCTGTTCTACCTGCACCCACCCCTCCCCACACAGATGTAGTGACCTGCCTTGCACTGGACACCTGTGGCATCTACCTCATCTCAGGCTCCCGGGACACCACATGCATGGTGTGGCGGCTCCTGCAACAGGTTCACTATTTGGGGGCCCCATAGTCCTGATTTATAACCTGTCTGCCCCTCAGCAGGCCTCCAGCCTGCTGTTCTGTCTTCCCCTTCCCTCCACTGCCACGAATAAATTTGGGGTGCCTCACTTTGATGAGCATTAGCCTTCTCACTAGGATCAGTCCTGAACCAGCCCTGGCTTTCCACAGGGTGGTCTCTCCATAGGACTGGCATCAAAGCCTGTGCAGGTCCTCTATGGACATGAGGCTGCAGTGAGCTGTGTGGCCATCAGCACAGAACTTGACATGGCTGTCTCTGGATCTGAGGTATGTGTATGCCTGTGCTCTGGGGAGGCTGAGTTTGCTGGGTGCTGCCCTTGGAGCCCAGGCACCCCTGCCTACCACCCTAAGCTGCCTTCCCACAGGACGGAACTGTGATCATCCACACTGTACGCCGTGGCCAGTTTGTAGCAGCACTACGGCCCCCAGGGGCTGCTTTGCCCGGACCAGTATCGCACCTGGCGCTGGGGTCTGAGGGCCAGATTGTGGTACAGAGCTCGGCAAGGGAACGTCTAGGGGCTCAGGTATAAGAAAAGGGCACCCACCCAAGACAGGGGTGATTGGGATTCTGTTCTTGCTGACACCGCTACTTCTTCCAGGTCACCTATTCCTTGCACCTGTACTCGGTGAATGGGAGGCTGAGGGCTTCACTTCCTCTGGTAGAGCAGCCCACAGCCCTGGCAGTGACTGAGGACTTTGTTCTATTGGGTACTGCCCAGTGTGCCCTGCACATCCTCCACCTGAACAAGTGAGCCCCACTGTTTATGGGTTCATGGCCCCTCAGGATGGTGGTATTTGCTAGAGGAGACTAGGAGGCAGACCCATACCCCCTTTAGGAATGTGTGTGAGCACATTCTTCAAGGGCTATCACCTATCACCTGGCCCCAATGGGCGGCCCTGACTTGGGACTTCCGTAACCACAGTTGTGGGAGATTACCTTCTGTATCGGGGTTTTAATTTAGTCATCCTTAAAAGGAGGACAGAGAGGGTATATGGGAGAATGAAGCAGCACAGGTCAGCTGGAGGCAAAGCTCCCCTGAGGTTGCCGTTTGCATACATCCCCTGCCATCCCCCTTCCCTCCCTCCAGACTGCTTCCGGCTGCGCCGCCTCTGCCCATGAAGGTGCCCATTCGCAGCGTGGCTGTAACCAAGGAGCACAGCCACGTGCTCGTGGGCCTGGAGGACGGCAAGCTGATCGTGGTGGGCGCGGGGCAGCCCTCTGAGGTGAGGACCGGGGCAGGGCGGGCTTCCAACGGGGCGGGGAGCATCGGCCCTGGCTGATCCTACCCCATTTCTGCTTCCACCAGGTGCGAAGCAGCCAGTTCGCACGGAAGCTGTGGCGGTCCTCGCGGCGCATTTCCCAGGTGTCCTCCGGGGAGACGGAGTACAAGCCGGGATAGGCGCGCCGAGGGCCTGCCCGGTTCCGCAGCTCGGCTCCGCCTCGCCCCGCCCGGCCCCGCCCAGGAGCGGCGAGGACACAGACCATTGGCCCGCACGCAGGGGGTGGGCGGCGCCCCGCCCCCGCCCAGCTCAGGGATTGGCGGGCGGGGTCACTCCAGGAAGTCCCGCCCCTCGCCGGCAGAGGGGCTCCCCGGAGCTCTCACACAGGTCTCGGGGCCCGCACAGCACTTTTTGCACAGTCTGGTTGGGGAGGCCTAAGCCCCCAATTACCCGGTCCTGGCAGAGCACGGGCCGGGCTGTGGCCTTAATGCCTAAAGGCGTTCCCCCTCCCATCGCGTTTCGCAATAAACTTTTGTTTTGTAGCTGTTCCGCCTCCAAGTTTACCTGCCTCTCAGCCTGCCCCTGGCCACCCACCGATCCAGGGCCTTGTTCTGCAGGTGCATGAAGCCTTCAAGGCGACCCATCCCCTCTGCGTGGCTTCAGCTTCCCCAGCTTCACCACCCTTGTCTGTTAGGGCCCTGCTCACTGTTTCTTCCTTTGGTCCTGGTGAAGCACTGCCACCCGCACTCCCCAGGGACTCCGCGCTGTCGTCTTGGCCTGCTCAAGTGGTTCAGAGATACTAGTCCCGCCAGGCTGTGTGGATCCCAGGAATTGTGTGGAAAGGGAACTGCCACAGGTCAGGAGTGTGTTGTGGATAGAAATCTAGGCTTCCCAGACAAAGAGAGTTTTCAGTTCCCATCCTCAAGTGTTCTCCGCCGTGGTGCCAGTGGCTTGTTTGAAATGAGTGTGGGAAGCCAGTACACTGTGGGTATGTGGGGTGTTGCTGATTTTGTGGGCCTGGAGGTGGGTAGGGCAGACACAAGGCCAATCTCACAGCTTGGTATGGGTCAGGCACACACAGGGTCTGGCTCATCTACCAACCACAGTTCTGGAAGGGTCCCTCATATCATGACAGAAATGTACACACCCCATAAGTGGCAAGGGCCACTGCAGCTTTTGTCCAGACCTACTTTCAGACTTTGTCAAACAGAAAGGCCCATGGCCTGGCTCAAGAAAGTTGATTGGAGTCCCTGAGGTGGACCAGGCCTGCGTGTAATAGATGTTGAGTTGGAGGGCTCCCCCAGGTCTCTTCTCCATCCCTTTTGCAGGCAAGATCCTTTCTAAGACCATACCTGGACTTCTCTTGCTTAGTCCTCAGGAAATAGGTCCCTGCAGGATCAGTCCTGGAGGTCCTGATGGTTCTGAGCCTGAGTGGTCCTGTCCTTAATGTATCTGGCCTCTAAGCTCTCAACTGAATTTCAGATGAGAAAGGTCCAGGGGCCCTCTGTGCCCATAACCCCTCTACCCTTGCTGACCCCACAAAGGTATCCTCCCATCCAGCCTGTGAGCAGGTGTGGGTTAGACACTGACCCTCAAGGCAAGAATAGGAGCAGTCACTCTAGGAGTCCAGCTGAGAGGCTTAGGTGTTAGGTTTCTGGGATCATGCTGGGAAGACTAGGGAGATGCCTACTAGTCAGTAAGTTAGTGGCTGAGATAGGGGTGAGAGCTTTCTGGTTCTCCCCTGCCATCCCTGGGCTTAGACCAGGAGTTTGCCAAGATCTTTGAAACAGGGTGCTTTCCAATGGGCCCATTTCCATCCTGAGTTCCACCCAAGCTCCTCCAGTTTTGGCCGGCTGGGACCAGCTGTATCACCCCCTCCCATCTGACATAGGGGGAAACTTACCCAGATAGGTGATTGGGAATGGAGGGGTACCCAGCCCTGTAAAGAATCAGGATGAAGTGAACCAGGAGAGGGTGACAGACTACCCCAAGGGAATCCCAGTGTTAGGCTTGAAGACTTCCCTAATGTCCCTACATGCTGCCACTTCTTAACTGAGGTCTCCCAAATCCCTGGCTTGGTGCTACCCATGATACTCTCTCTTCCCCCTTCTCTAAGAGATGGCGCTCCAGGAGCACTGCCAGTCAACAGAAGCATGCTTTCACAACTCTAGGCATGCATGGGGAAGGCATAGTCCATGTGGGTAAAAACATTATGATCCAGATCTTTGGCACTAGGTAGAATGGGAGACACTTGTGTGGGGAGGTCACATCCAGTTATAGGCTCTGGAGTCACTGTGCCCTACCCAACTGGACAACTACCTCAAGGCAGAAGGGAGCAGCAGCATTTACTTCTAATCTGGTCTATTTTGCAAAGATTTACAAGGTCTCTGTGCACAGAAGCACCCCTGGGGACCAACATGAATCAATGTGCTCCCACAGTCCAGTTTAGTGCCATACTAGACAAAGGAAATGCAGCAAGTCAGAAAGGGAGAGACCAAGGAAGACTTCCCAGAGAAGATGCCAGGTAGTCTGTCAGATGGAGATGGCATAACTGGAAGGACAGAACTCAGGAAGCCTGGGAGAAGGATGGGTGTCTAAGAGTAGCAAGCAAAGGGGAAGCTGCGAGAGATGAGGTTGGGGAAAACAGGCCAGTCAACTCCTGACACCATGGTACAAGCTCTTCACTCCATGTAGTAGGGACTATGGTTTAAAAAAATTTTTTTTTAAGATTTTATTTATTTATACAAGAGCTGGGGTACAGGTCAGAGGTGCGGGGGGTGAGAGAATTCACCAGAGACAGAGAGGGGAACAGAACAGGCAGATGGACCGAAGACACAGCTGAAAGGGAGCAGCAGGCCAGGCAGAAGAGGTCTGCTGCACCATGTGGGTTTCTCCCTGGCCGGCCAGGAATTGAACTCACGCTGCAGAGACTGCGGACAGCTTCACAGCGCAGCACTCAACCCGCTGTGCCACCAGGAAGGCGCTTTAAACATTTTTTGACAGCAAAGTTTAAGTGAAGGGTGCCCAGGAACCCTAGCTTTGATTCCTTGTCCCTGATCCTGTCTGTCCTTTCAGATAGGACGAGAAGGCAGGACAGGGAAGGGGTGTGGATAGGAGCAGGGGAGACCTGGCTCCCAATACCTTCTCCCCATTCCCCTGAGCCTCCAGGGCCCCAGGCAGTATCATCCCTGTCTACTCAGGACCTTCAGATTATGACTGACACGCTGCCTACTGCGCTAAGGAGGCAACTATCATCCCTGTCTACTGTGCCCTCCCAGTCAGCGTGGTTCTTGGTTTGTCCACTCAGTTGGGCTTTAAGTGGTAGGTGGTCTGGGTAGTGCCCCACGGTACCTTCCTTCCCATCTCAATTCCCAGCCAGCTCCCTCTCTGTTTCAGTGGATGTTGGAACAGGTTAGCAAGTGCTTCTGGCTTTCACGAGCAGGGAGAGCTGCTGGCCAAAGCTTGGACTGCAGAGCTGGGGCCTTGAGACAGACCAGATGCATGGGGATAGCAGGGTCTTCCTGCCTGATCCAAGCAGTCTGGGCCCTGTGCCCCCAGCCAGGGTGGGTCCCTCCGAACTAAAGTTTTTCGGACCTAGCACTACGCTTCCACCCAGCTGCCTGACCGCATGTCTCCCACCCAGGGCCACATCCTGAGCAGGACTGCCGACTACCTTCACCTCCCTCAACAGCAGCAGGAGGAAGTGGCTACAGGCTCAGCCTAGTAGCCCTGGTAGCCTGCCAGTCCTTGTCAGGCGTGGCTGACACCTCCAGGAGCTATGCCACTTCCTCCTGCTGCTGTTGAGGGAGGTGAAGGTAGTCGGCAGTCCTGCTCAGGATGTGGCCCTGGGTGGGAGACATGCGGTCAGGCAGCTGGGTGGAAGCGTAGTGCTAGGTCCGAAAAACTTTAGTTCGGAGGGACCCACCCTGGCTGGGGGCACAGGGCCCAGACTGCTTGGATCAGGCAGGAAGACCCTGCTATCCCCATGCATCTGGTCTGTCTCAAGGCCCCAGCTCTGCAGTCCAAGCTTTGGCCAGCAGCTCTCCCTGCTCGTGAAAGCCAGAAGGACTTGCTAACCTGTTCCAACATCCACTGAAACAGAGAGGGAGCTGGCTGGGAATTGAGATGGGAAGGAAGGTACCGTAGGGCACTGCCTAGATCACCTACCACAATGGGGCTTATGTCTGGCACAATGGGCCAGGTGTCAGACTACACCCTGCTGGGTTGTCTAAGAGGGCAGCGGGGCCATCCTTAGAGTGCTGGAGGGCACCGTGGAGCCATGGACCTTGAAGATGTGGTCCTAGTCCTGGGCCCACCAAATGAGGGGTGCTTTGTGATGCTTCACAGCCTGGCCTCTCGGAACCTACTTGGGTGCTCCCCATCACCCCCATCTCATATGCCTTCCCTTACCTGGGCTTCCTGGCTGGCACTGGTGGTCTCAGCCTGTTCAGCTTGTGCCCACATTAGATCCAACCATCACTCACCTCCCCTCACCCTGCCTTCCTGCAGGATAAACAACAGGCTATCGAGGAATCTGGCAGTGAGTCCTCCCCTCTGGTTCCCACCCTACCTCCCCTCAGCCTCGCCTGCTTTTTCTGTTTTCTCTCATATTAAAGGCAACTTTGGATTTTTGTGCTGGCTTTATCTAGCTCCTTGGGTTTCAGAGACAGTTGGGTGACTAAGAGGCAGAGGCTCAGAAAAAGGATGGGGTAGGTCTCTGATATGGGAGGAACACCTGAGCTGGCAGGCAGCACACTCTCAGGTAAGATGTGTGAGCTTTGCAGGCACACTGGGGCTTATGTCCTGCATCTGCCAGTCATGGAATATCCTGTTAGGAAGCTATGTAACTTTCCTGAACTTTAGCTTTCTTAATAGGAAAACAAACAGAATAGCACATTCTTGAGATCCCCCACCCCTAAGGCTCTCAGGTTCATCTGAGGGGTCCAGGGTTTTTCCCGACTTGTGACCAACATCAAGAGTGACTTGGGACCAGCATTAAGAGCGGTTGGTGCCTACCCCTCTAGGCAAGTGGCAAGAGGCAGACTGGCCCTGAGGTCACTCTAGATGAGGAAAGGCCTCTCCTTACAAGGCCCACACTCCAGACTCAGGAGAAGTCCCAAACATGCTTTCACAGCTACTTATCTGATTTCTACACAAGCCAAGAGCAGGCAGGTCATCCCACCCACCTGAGGGGCAGAGTTCAGGGCAGGGCATCTGTG